GCTTTCGACTCCGTTTTTTTTTATTTACCAGCGTAGTGTGAATTCTTCCTTAACGGGATTGGCTATTTTTTTTTTTCAAGTATGCGTTTTCAAAGTGTAGTGCCGAAAATGCAAGTGTAAAAAAGAAAGTAAGTCTTAGTATTAGCATAGCCTTCAGTTGTAAATAAATAGTGTAAGATATAAGCCATTGTTTTTCTACTTTTTATTAGTGATAGCAGAGCCTGGTTGTAAGAGGATAATATTCTGTTGAAATAAACAGGAACGTGCACCAGGAGAAATGTATTGGGTTCGTGGAATATCACCAGCGCAGAGCCATTAGATGCCAAGAATTAGTTTTTATAGGGAAATAAGTTTGAAGCAGTTATAAAAATATGTAAGGTATGATATGTCTATTGGATTCTAGGTCTATGATATGTCTGTTCGATAATTTTGGCATTTACTTATTCGTACCTTTTGGTTTAGGATGCGGACGACGATGCTTAGAGTCGGCCATCACTACGGAAAACCAGTCCAAGAGACGATTTGCCATTGCTGGCTTGGATGACGGCGGGCATTCGGAGTTTCGCGATGATTGGGAGTTGTACGTTGATTTCAAAGGTGACGGAGTCTTCTCCATTACCTCGTTGCTCATCAGATGCTTGTCGTCGTATTTGCTGCCAGCCAGTGCCTGGAACAGTGTAAGTAAAGAAACGCATGAGACTCAAATCAATTTGTAGTCAACCACATATTAAATTCGAGAAATAACCAGCCCTTTTTTCTGAATATTTCTTAACTTTCAGTGTTTTCCTTCGGTAACTCTGGTTTACAAGGAAGGTGGCAAGGTTTTGTCCGTTTAAAGCCATCTTTATCTTTATTTATCCTTCGTTTCTGATGTAATTCCGAATATAACGATTGGTGTCTAAATAATTTAAAAAATCAACGATGTAATATTATTGTATACTGAGAAAAGCGACGATGCAACTGCCTTTGTGTTCGTCAAATGAAAATAGAGGTAAATACGAAAGATAGAAATATGAAAGACCCGAGACAGATCTGTGGCAACCATTGTTCTCATTGTAGGGGATCCTCCTTCACGGTTGTGGATGACAGCTGCTCGCAGGTATCCTCGATGGGCCGTAGTGTTAGAAGAAACGGTAGGAAAAGGAAGGGATGCGTTTCGTCCGGGGCCTGCTAGTGGACTCATCAGTAAGGCTATCCTAACAGGACCTGCCCTAGACCGAGATACTATTGGAAGGTCAGGAAATTATATGTATAGGAATTGAAAGTTTTTGGAGGACTTGTGAGAAAGTCCTCGAACCTTCTTGAAGTCAGAATACATGTAGTGGCGAGGATGAGAATGATGGTCGCTACATCATCTTCGTCAATACATGAATTCCAACTTGGAGGAGGTTCGAGGACTTCCTTACAAGTCCTCGGTAAAACTTCTGTTTCTTATATATACAAATTCCAATAGTATCCCTCTGTCTAAGGCAGGGCCTACTAGGTAGTCTTACTGATGAGTCTTCACTAGAAGGCTCAGGACAAAACGCATCCCTTCCTTTTCCTTTCTAGCACCACCCCAATCCCGAGGATACCTGACGACCAATCAACTTCAGTAACCGTAGTGGAAGACCCTCCACAGATCTTTCGTTACTTGTGTATTACTCAACGTTTACTCGATTTTCGTAACAGTAACGGTATTATCGTATCGTTTCATTTCTCAACGATTATTTGGATATTCTGTTTGCATTACGATTGTTTGTGTCATTTTGAGTAATTAAACGTCACGCTTTCGGCCATGAAAAATTTCTCTTCTCTAAGCGGTTTCTTTTCCAGAGAGTTCAAAAATTTCGCGCAACCATTGTTGGACAGCGTAACGTCGTTTGTTACAGGCAGAAATAAAGCTGGCGGCGTGTTTCGTTTCGCAATTAATCATCGCTAGCCCGAATTCATGGAAACCGGTAATAACTTCGTGTCCTGTCCACGAACACAATCGTGTCCGTTAATCAAGAATCTTTTCATACGGTTCCGCATGCCACCGATGCGTCGTTCAATGATCCCCCGATTGAGAATTCGAGGACTGGTTGTATCGTCGAGAGACTAGTCGATGAAATTAATATGGCCGGCTGTGACTAATTAGAAACGCCATTATGTGCGCTCGTTACACGTACATTCTTTCGCTATGACCACGTTTTAACACGTTCCCTGCGTAGATTTAATTAGCGGATTCGATTAATTTCGCAGGGTGGTTGGGAATTCCGGGAAAGAAGATCAGGAAAATTGCGATAATCAGGAAAATTGTGATTTGGAAAGTTTGGGATGTATCGATTATTTATGATAGAAAGGATTTATCACTACGATGAGAATGATAATTGTGTTAATGATTATGAAAGTGGTCTGAGATAAAAATTTAAAAGGAATAACTTTATCGTTTAATGCATTCATTTACACTGCAAAATAGAAAAGAATTAAACAGTTAGATGGAATTTGTAGCCTTATCATGATTAATTTTATTAATTTGGAATATATTTAAAACACGCAACTTTTGGTATTTCCAGACAAAACATGTATGACGTAGGCTGCTTTCACAATCACTGTCGCAATTGTAAAATGTAGTTTCCAAAATTAACTTAGTTTCTTAAAAATATTACAAAGGGATGAATACGTATTACTTAAAATTCTGTAGCGATAAGCACAAGATATTCTTACTGAAAAATTCAAGATTCTATTTATTTAAAAATTCATTTTCGACTATTCCAATAATTTTGATAGAAAACAGTGACTATTCCAACAGAAATTACGATTGTTCGGTATTTAATTAGCATAAAAATCTCAATCTATAGGGTGGATATTCCACGAAACAGCAATTCCACAATAATCACAATTCAGGAACTGCAAAGAAATATGGCAGCCGGTTAATTGTCAGCTAGAAACAGCTGGCAGCGATCCTTTCTACATATTTCGTGGCTGGAATCACGCCGAGGGGAAGAGACGGGAGCCTGACCAGCGCAATCATTAACCATACGGAGGTGTAATTTCGGGGTAAATACACGTCTGGTGCACGGGACGGGGATAAAGGGTTCGTTTCTTCGGGGCTTTCGTGCACGAGGAATCTCTCGTTTTTCACTCCTCTCCTTAGGTCGGCCGCGTCGTGAGCCCCGAGCTTGTACCGCGTTAATTTTCTCCCCGCGGAGAGTTGCTAACAATAAGTAGAAACGATGTATCTCGCCTCCGCCCCATTCTAAATTCCTATCTCACAAATCTTGCCGACCTCGCCACTTTATACACGTGCACCCTCCCTCGTAAAAACCATCGAGCTTCGTCTTCATCTTCCGTTCTTTTTCTCCTCGCGGCGCTCGCCAACCCCCGGCTTCAACCCACGAGAGGCTGCTTTCCGTGCTCGCAACGTACATTTATGGTTCACGATTCCCGTCTATTCGGTTGCGTGTTAACAAGCGCGTTTCGAGTCGATGCTCATGCAGATTCGCTCACGGTCCCATAATTTTTAACATTTTTACGATTAATTAGCCGTTGGGAACATTTTTTCTTCCACCTTTAATCGTACTCGTTTATTTCACATGGTTTAAATGTGTTTTCATTGTACGACATTTTTTTCCCGGGTTTACAAGCGATTGAGATTCTGTGGAATTGCGAGATACGCAGGTTTACGCGATTTAGTTACGAAGGATTATGCATCGAAGTAGTATCTAGTCTAAAATAGTGAATTAAAACTAGATAAAATTTGTTTAAATTTGTAGAATTTTGTACACAGACTCGTCGTCCGTCGTAGGGGAAAGGTTGAAATAAAATGGAGAATATGAGAGGCGTAACTGAATCTAAATTACTCTTAGCAGGTTATAAAAATATCAGGTGAGAGAGAAATAGTAGTTTTGATGAATTCTTCATTCTTTAAACAACGAAAATTATTTTTCTGGTTTGCAATAATCGATATAAACGGTTGACCTTAATTTAGGGCTATTTACGACTGTCATTGAGGATTAGGAAATTATTAATATATTATTATTAATAAAATACGAGACACCAATACTTCGATACAGTATTAAACAAAACACCAACGATGTGTGGCAGTCATAGAATATCAGAAAATGATTAATAACCAATGTGACTTACTAGTACCCCAACACAGTCGTATATACATCTTAATCTTCTATTTTTTGGTAACCAATAAGATTTTTATTGAAGATAATTTTATCACTGTGTTGGAGCATTGGTGACTTTATTGATTATTTGTCATCAATGCTCCAACACAGTGATAAAATTATCTGCAATAAAAATCTTATTGGTTATCAAAAAATAGAAGTTGGATTAGGTGGACAATAATTTTATCACTGTGTGGAGCATTGGTGACTTTATTGATTATTGGTCATCAATGCTCCAACACAGTGATAAAATTATCTGCAATAAAAATCTTATTGGGTATGAAAAGATAGAAGTTGGATGAGGTGGACAATAATTTTATCACTGGTGACTTTATTGGTTATTGGTCACCAATGATAAACATAGTGATAAAATTATTGTCCACCTGATCCAACTTTCTATCCCTTGATAACCACCGTGAGTCGTCAACAATTCACTATAGTTTAACATAGAACCTCAATGGCGACTTACGACAGTCATCAGACACCAGAAGATTCCTCTGATCTAATTCGATTTTCGATCCAAACGATTCCAGAACTGAACGACCCTTCAAAGCCCCTGTATCCTCGCAAAGAAACTGTAATTTCTCTAAACCGGTGGGGAGAAAATCAAACGGGATGAAAATCCCTGGATCTGCTTTACTCGCGGCATGCATGTCGTCGAGTCTTACGGGGTTGCAACCGTCCGTAACGATATTACGGCTCCTCGTCGTCTGGCGACGCTTTCCGTCGGATCGATGGGAAAGACGCCTCGTCTGGGCTGCTCGAAAATACGAGCCATCGACTCGTGGGGTCTCACGGTCGCCCAATGAGAGCTTCACCGCCATTGAAGGGCACTCGACCTTCTCGCAAAGGATCCAGGCTCGATTTTCACCTTTCAATCGAATCGTTGTTTCCGCCATTTCGATCATCTCCATCATCTCGATCATCCCGAACGTCTTGGATCACTTTCTTCAACCGTACTCGATCGACAGACACGCGTGACATATTAAAAATCGAATCGTTTTATCAATTATGTTGGATATATTTTATATTTTATAATTTTTTGGCAGATATAACAATTCGAAGCTTTTCTTATGTTTTTCTAAGCTCGGTGATGCTACTTCATCACGTGTATTTCATTTCGATATTTCTGATGTAATTATTGCTTCATATTCGTTACCTAAACTTCTAGATATTAGAACGAACGGTGATTGAGAATCACTGCTCGAGTGCAAAGGGTTAATTATTATAATACTAATACTTGGTATATATTTAACACGTTCGTAGAATTGTTTAATTTCGACCTCTAGTGTCATGGATTTGATTGACTAGTACTACTTATACTTTAGTCTCAGAGGGTTTCTTGTTAAATAAATTGTTCCTAATTTTGTATTAGAATAAACGGTGATTGAGAATCACTGCTCCAGTGCAAAGGGTTAATTACTATAATACTAATACTTGGTATATAATTAACGCGTTCGTAGAATTTTTTAATTCCAACCACGAGTGACACGGATTTGATTGACTAGAACTACTTATACTTTAGTCT